AAATATTTAATTGGCAATGTGGTGCAGTGGGGCAGGCTCCTGGCAGGAAAGGCACCCGCTGGGCCCCCCAGGAATAATTAAGGATCCCCCCCAGCCTCTGCAGCCTGCCCACCCCTCCAGGCAGCGCTGTGTCCTGCTGCTGGGTTGGGGGCTCCCCCCCTTCCCCTCCCTACTCTCATCCCTCCCAGGGCACCCCAAAACAGGGGTGGAAGGGGAGCAGAGACCCCCCAGCCCTTCCCTAGCAGGGCTGGGGTGCAGGCAGGGAGCCAGCCCCTCCAGGCGCAGGCAGACACCCTGGCGCAGAGTCCCCCCTCACTGCAGGGGTGAGATCTTCAGGGGGATCATTATCCGTGACTCCATGGTGCGGATCAGCGGGACTGGAAAGGAAGACAGAGAGGTGAGGGCAGGGGGTCCTTGGTGAGGGCAGGGGGTCCCCGGCAAGGGCAGGGGGTCCCACTCACCCGTGTAGTACACGTTCTCATCCCAGCCCCTCTTCCTCCAGGCTGCATTCCTCGTCTCCTCCCGGGACTGCAGGTCCTTGTAGGCTTGTGGGGAGGGGAGAGGGCTGGCACCCAGCACCCCCCCAATACCCAGCCCCCCCCAACACTGGGGGGTACCCAGGTGGTGATGTGGGTGGCAGGGAGCCTGCTTACCCCAGAGGTGATGCACAACGTACAGCTCCCCGATCTGGGAGAAGAACCCACCGACAGCCTCCTGGTTCTCCTGCCGGTACTTAATGGCCCGAGCCCTGGCACACGGCAGAAGAAACAGGGGAGGGGGGGGCAGTTGTCCGATGGTGCCCCCTGGTCCAGGGGGACCTTTTCCCACCTTGGCTCCCTCTGTACTGGGAAAATGGTTGCTTACCAGTTGTTGCCCCATTCGATCATGGTCCCTGGCTGGAAATAAAGGAGGAAAAAAAAAACCAGAGTGAGCAGCCAGATCCCGCCTGCTCCCCCTGTTCAGGGCCTCCTCACTTGAGAAGGAAGGAACTTGGGGGGCTGCCCCCCAAAACCCCAAGCAGGACCCCCATTCCAGGGGGTGTATCGATCCAGAGCTGTCCTGAGGCATGGGCTGGCCCCCTGCAGCCGCTCACCTTCAGCTTGTAGGTCCTCAGCTCGTAGATGTTGGGTCCCTGGCGGGGCAGGGGCTCATTCCAGAAGCTGAACTCCAGGAGCAGCTGGTTCCTGCGGGACAGCAGCATCCGGCTCCTCTCCTTGCGGAAGTCCAGGTACTCCTGGGGACAGCCCCAGTTAGGGGTTTTGGGGTGGGGGCAAGCACGACCCAGGCCTGTGGCAGGGCAGGCAGAGGCAAGGGGCAGCGCTGGGGCAGCTCACCCAGATCCTAGCGGTACCTTATTCTGCTTGAGCTTGTTCATGCAGTCCATGAGGGCCGGGTACCCGCCCGAGAAGCGCCAGAGGTGCACTGGAAGGAGAGCACGGGGCTGGGATGTGGGGGGGCAGCTCCCACCTCTCTCCCCCTGGCACAAGTCAAGGTCTTTGCCTTCACTCTCAGCCCCTCTGGTAGCAGAGGCACTGGGAGCCGCTGCCTGCCTGCCCTCACCTGCCTGGTCCTGCTCGCCATACCAGGTGTTCCAGTTCCCCACCAGGTCACAGGGGTAGTCAGCATCCGAGTGGAGCTTGGGCAGCACCTCCTCTCTGTGGGGCCACGGGGAGGGTGGCTTGGAGGGGAAACAGCCATCCCAAACGCTCCCGAGACCCCCGATTGCCCTCCCCATCCCAGTGTGAGGGCTCTGCCCACGGAAGGGTCTGCTCTAACGGGACCTGAAACAGCCCCCTGGGATGTGTGTGCACCCATTTCTCAGGGGGGGAAACTGAGTCAAGGAGCAGTGGTACAGACCCACCTGGGGTCTCAAGGAGCTCCGCACAAGCCCTCCCACCCTCCTCGCTCCAAAGCAGGCCGCTGGGCAGCCCCCCCCCCCCAAGGTGCGGCAGGGCTCACGTCAGGCTGTTGTAGGCGTCCAGGCACTCCGGCTTCACGTTGTGAACTGCAGGGAGAGGAGCAAGGGGCTGCCAGGGTGGGAGCTGAGGCCCTGGCAGGGGGGGAGGGGGAAGCAGGGCCCAAGGCAGAGCAGCCAGGGGGATCCCCACTGTGCACCCCATCTGCACTCAGCCCCGGCCTCCCCATGGGGCCACTCACACTGGATTTTGTAGAGGTTGCTGGTCTCCTTCTTGGAGAGAAGGTTGGAATGGGCATCCTTGCGGGGGTCCACCTTGTGCACGAAGAGGGAGCGGAACCAGCTGCCCTCGGCGTCCCTCGAGTACCCCCTGCCAGACAGCGGGTTGGTACCCCCTCACCTTGGGGAACACCAGCACCTTGGCCCCGGGGGTGACCAGCTAGAGGGCAAAACGGCAACCGACAGCCACGCTGCTGGTCCCCGGCCTTCTTGGCTCTGGGCTGCCTGCACCACCCAGCTCCCGGGGAGCACCGGCTGCCCCGGGGGGCTCCGTAGGGTTCCACTGGGTCCGTTTCAGGGCTAGGACCCCTACAGTTTGTAGGGGATACGCAGGAAAAGCAAAGGCCATGGCTCAGGTGTGCGTGTGTGTGGTTGGCCCATGCTGCCCGAGGGGTCCCGGGGCGAGGGAGCAGACGCTCCGGGGACCCCGCAGCCC